AATACATGAAGATGACAGAGAATGGTGTTTATATAAATAAATTTAATAGCGTGTGGCACATAGCAGACTAAAATTAATTGAAAAAGTCGGCTTCTGTCAAACATTAAACTGATCTTCCACCTGGGCGTTAGCTGAAAAACCATGACGTCATTAATCGCAAAATATGCTTTAACACTTGAGGCCCCTGCGACTAGTGACTTCTTCTTCATCTTCCATTTCATGATAGACGTTTGTTTTTATAATTTCATACATTTTAATGAATATATTTTGTAAAATCGCCTATCTGACTTAAAATTGTATGAGTTCCTACTCCCATGTCATTAAGACTGCTGAAAAGTTCATTGGCTGCTATCAATGTTTCGCCAATATGTTGCTTTAGTTTATTTAGATTTGACAGTCTATTCCTATTCATAGGAATCATATGTTTCAATATCGGATATATTTTTAAAGTTTAAAACAGACATTGGAAATGAAGTTATATTGTCATATTAGTAAAAAAGATTGGCTTATCTATAACATCTGTACATAGTTGTATATATGTTAGCTATTTTTCTACTCTTGTTTTTGATGCATCCCAAAACCATTTCAAATGTTACCTTTTTAAATTACACATTCGTTATCTGATCTCATCTTTATTTGAATTGATCCTAAAACTCTCCGGCGATATCGAGACAAATCCTGGTCCATCTTCTTGTGTTTCACTTGTACATCTAAATGTAAGGATTATACGCTACAAACGAGACACAATTATCGCAGAACTTCAGAAGAATATGATTTCATACTATTAACAGAGACATGGCTTGACAAAAACGTACCTTCCGACACACTTTCTATCCCCAGCTTCCATGCACCCATCAGAAAAGACAGACAAGACGGACGGGGTGGCGGGGTTGCTCTCTTTGGGTTGCTACTCTGAAGAACATTAGCATCAATTGGACTTATTAGAAATAAATATATTGGCTTAATTCGAAATGCAAAAAAGAATATTATAACAATTTGGACAACAAAATTAATTAATTTTGGAACCAAGGCATATTGTCAACTCGTTTGTGAAAGTTCAGATGTCCCTAAAGCTCAACTACCACCTCTTGTCTTCAATGATGGCGTCTTGTCCACTACTCCAATTGATAAGACCAATTGTTTAAATAATTTCTTTATTAAACAATCACAACTCGACTCTATAAATGCACAACTTCCTGCTATCGATCGCATAGCGAACTCACTCTGTCACATACAGATAACTCCACAGGAAGTTAAAGACATGATCTTAAGCATGGACACCAACAAAGCCAGTGGCCCCGATAACATAAGTGGTAAACTCCTGAAGTCAATATCCCTTGAAATATCCACTCCTCTCTGTACTCTCTTCAATCTCTCTCTCTCTCAACCAAACGCGTCCCCTCTATCTGGAAATTTGCAAATGTAACAGCCATTCTAAAAAAAAGACGACCCATCGATCTGTAGACCAATTTCTCTGCTAAGCATCCTTGTGAAAATATTTGAAAATGTGTATACAAACATGTCTATAATTTCCTGAAAACAAATTCACTGATCTCTTGCATGCAAAGCGGCTTTCTGCACGGGCACTCCATTACCTACCAACTAATCGATCTTACACACTTCTTTTGTCAAGTCATCGATCAGGGGCAATACACAAGGACAGTGCTCTGCGACATTAGTAAAGCTTTTGACAGAGTTTGGCATGCTGGACTCTCTCACAAGCTGGATGCGTCTGGAATCAGGGGAGACCTACTTACATGGTTTAAGAATTACCTTGACCATAAAAAAAACATTCCGTGGTGGTAAGTAGTGTTTCCTCTGAGTCCAGGACTCTGAGTCCCTGAGTGCCGCAGGGCTCTGTACTTGGGGCCTTTACTTTTCCTTATATACATAAACGACATTGTCAACGATATCCGATCTAATACTAAACTTTTTGCAGACGATACTAGCATTTATATGCGGATTGATGATCCAACTGCATGCGCGGATTTAATGAACCGAGACTTGGAACGAATAAACGAATGGGCGAAAACGTGGCTGGTCTCTTTCAACCCACTGACGACCGAAACACTCGCACTCACTACCAGACTCTGCCCTCCACTGCGAACACTACAACTGGACAACATACCAATTAAGGAAGTGTCATTTCACAAGCATTTAGGATTAACTTTTCAAACAAACTGTAAGTGGGACGTACATATAAGTAGCATCTTATCGAAACTTGGTAGGTTAGTCAATTGTCTTAAGTCTCTGAAATATCGCCTGAATCGGAAGTCTCTTCATACCATTTATATCTCTTTTATTTTACCCCATTTTGACTATTGAGACGTGATATATGGAGGGGGATCGTTGCCAGAAGTATTAACAAAGTCAAACTTGAAAACAAGGCCTCGACTTTTCGAAATCATATTTCAACATTACACAATTACAAAATAAACCTTCCTAAAGTCAAAAAGTCAATGTACTTATTACAAAGTAGAGATGTTGATTGTTTACTTTTCAAACTTTATTTCACATCAGACACCATTCAAACTTTCCTTTAAGAAAATGAATTCTTAACTTTGCATTATTGACATTATCAACTATGTCTTCCTGACTTTGCATTCGTGAAAGATGTAAGTTCGACCACTGTATTCTTGAGAGTTGTAAAGTCAACTTCTGCATTCTTGAACGTTTACCATATAAGGTAACGTGACCTACTTCATTTACATAATCCGGAAATTCACGGAAACTAACGGAAATATAAATCAATAATTGCTCCCTGTCAAAGGGATTTAACTCTAAATAAGCCTCGAAACCGGATGTTTAAATGCGGCATTGGTCAATTGACAATGAAGCTGCAGTTTTCAACCGATTTTGGTATAATATGATGTGATTTAGATTTTAATTCGATGAACACTTTTGAAAGGTGTATTGCTCGTAACATGACCAATTAAACATGATTCATGATGCTAAAAGTATCAAGAGAATTAAATCAATACATGTTTTTATGTACATGTTTTATCTTGCTTAGGAAACTATCTATGCTTTATTATCCATTAGGAGGTTCTCGTTGTTCAGATCTTAATTGTATGAATGGTGAAGTTTGTGACGTTAGGACTCAATCTTGTATAGGTTTGTAATTATTATTTTTCAATGGAAATCACAAATATTTTTCTTGAAATTCCATCATGAAGTATATCTTTGAATACAATGACTCTTTAACAACGTTTACAATTTTCTAAAACTATAAGAGATTTACCTTGGTCTTAATGAGTGAGTGAGTATTTCCCTTTATTTTTCATTAGCAATAAATCCTTGTGACAGTGATCCTTGTCTCAACAATGGAACTTGTGAACCTATAACTGCAATAAAGTTTCAGTGTAACTGTTCTGAAGGTTTCGAGGGTGAAACATGTGAAACGGGTTTGTAATTATTATTATCTTTGGAAATCAAATAATTTTGTTGAAATGCAACCATGAACTGTTTTTTCTAATGAGTATTTTTCTAATACAATGCCTCTTTAATAACGTTTACAATGATCTAAAACTATAAGAGATTTACCTTAAGTCTTAAATGTGAGCTTTGCCCTTTATTTTTCATTAGCAATAAATCCTTGTGACAGTGATCCTTGTCTCAACAATGGAACTTGTGAACCTATAACTGCAATAGAGTTTCAGTGTAACTGTTCTGAAGGTTTCGAGGGTGAAACATGTGAAACGGGTTTGTAATTATTATTATCTTTGGAAATCAAATAATTTTGTTGAAATGCAACCATGAACTGTTTTTTCTAATGAGTATTTTTCTAATACAATGCCTCTTTAATAACGTTTACAATGGTCTAAAACTA